CAACGGTATTTTCAACGAAAAAAAAAATTGTTTGACCTAATCAAATATTATAGAAATATCATAAAGTGGAGTATAAATATGTATTTGAAAGCGTAGAATACAATCGCGCATGAATGCGGGGTAACCGAGTACTTAATAGTATTATTGGCTTCGAATTATTATATTTATATATTTCGAATGAGTTTATTGCTCTATCAATCTGTCCTAAGAGCTTTTGATTTTCCTATTTCTCTGAATAGTAGTGTAAGCGATGGATGATACGTATTAGTTATACGCATTCGAGATTAACAAGTAGGAACAAGGAACAGCCGAAACAAGGAATATTTGATACGTGATTACAATTTTCGATTCGAATCGCGGCTAAGCTCATCCGTAAGATTATTAAAGTTGGAAATTCCTTTGCACGTTCCAAATTCGACTCTTTTACATTAATAATTCAATTTTTAGATTATTATTGAATACGAGTGTTTTTAGTGTCGTTAGCAAATACCTGCCCCCCCCTCTCTCTCTCTCTCTCTATTTATTACATTCAAATCGCTCCATTTTTATTTTTCTATATATAATTGTGATGCTTATAGAGAAGGACAATTTTTATATCCCCCCCCTCTCTCTCTCTCTATTTATTACATTCAAATCGCTCCATTTTTATTTTTCTATATATAATTGTGATGCTTATAGAGAAGGACAATTTTTATATTTATTGAGTTATGCAACGTTAGTAAAGGTTTTAATTTTTGTCCAATTTCATCTTAGGTATCGATGCAATAAACTAATAATAAATATGAAACATAATGATGTTCGTAAATATCCGTTAATTAGCTAATATTCTTTGTTGATTTTAAAACATTTTTCTTATTATCTGTGCGGCTGTATGGATTTTTTTTCACAATCCTTAATGTTTATGCTATAAATATATATACACTGCTCGTTTAAATTTCGTTAAAAAAAAAAAAAAAAAAAAAAAAAAAAAATCATTTCTCGTAATTTGGATTCTTTGATTGTTTTTGAATACTGCCACTTATAAAATTATTAATACTTTTGTCATCAAGTCCAATAATCTATTGATCCTAACAATTACAATGATAGCATATTATTTATTATTCGATACTTTGCACGAGACGGTAGCTGCCCTAGGTTACTCTTATATTACAGACTTTTCGTTTGCAACTGCTATAATGAAAATTCATTAAGTAATAAAATTGTGGTATACCGACATATATATCAAGACATATGTACATGCAATCAGGACTTTACTTCCGATAATTTTAAATTATATACTCGTTAGGTTATTGCTTCTAATACAACTAGCTTATGTGTATGCATACATTTTTTACATATCTTAACGAGTACATACAAATTTCTTATTTCTTTCTTTATTCTCGATGATTATTGATTATTAAGAATAGATTATTACTTTTGTATATACTTTTATATTAGAATTGATTAAATATTATTGCTAATACTTTTGTCTATTGTATGTAACGTCGTTAGAAATGTAGTTTTTATGGTATACATTGTTTTCCGAATGTTTGTAGTATTATTCTCAATTCCATTAATTAAATTTCTTTAGAAGTTTTCTATCCACGTTTCACATATTCACTTATTTCCTCCATTGATTTTCGACTTGTAATGGCAGTCGTCAAATCGGAGCCCATTTATCTTTTTCGATCGCGGGACGCATTCTATCGCTGAACAAAAATCATTAATTTATTGTTAAATATTTTTCATTAAAAAAAAAAAAAAAAAAAAAAAAAAAAAAAAAACAACAAACAAAATAAAAAGAGAAATAAAGAAAAGTGATGTACTACTAAAAGATCGTTAGACTTTAAGACTTTGTTACCGGTATTCCGTCATTCGCAGCGTCCTTTCACGCTATATCATCATCGTAGGCTTTCCTGATTTTTTTTTTTTTTTTTTTTTTTTTTTTTTTGGATGCTGGATGCATCGAGGACCATATTTCATTCTTACGGGGCAGGATAGACAGCAGATAGCGAGCTACAATCAGCAGCGAAGAGTGTTTACTCGGGCTGGCCACATCGGCTCACCTACAAGCATCATTCTGTAACGAGAAAAACGGGCGCGGTGGGGTAGGGGGGTGGGGTGGCGGCTGCGGGATAAAAAAAAAAGAATAAATTCGAATAAATTGGTGGAGAAGTCATAAATTAAAAATGCATAGATGGGCTTCGAAGATTTAGCATACTTGTCATTATTCTGGAAGTTGGGTGGAATGAACTTAGTAGGCAGGCAGGCTTTAATTCCCATGAATGGCATATAACTATTATGGAAATTTATTCTTTTGGCCGATTATAGTCTGAATACTTTGAGGGGGCAAAACTCTCCCAAAAGCTCCCAGAAGCAGCTATTAGTATCGAACTGTTACTCGGCTTTGGAGCAACGAATGCCTAAACGTATTTTCACTCGAGCTTGCCGCGACGACAAATATCACCGCAGTAGATTCGAGGAATAAATAAGACCGTAGGAACGGGGTAGGTGAACTACTTGCGTAGAACTCCGGTGTATAAGGCTGAGAAATTAAAGAAGAGAACCTAGAAATCTCGTCAATTTTAGAATCGAGTTTAGATGGGAAAAAGTTCAGGGTCATTAAGACTGAAGGGCCTTGAATGATTTTCATTCGTTCACCTTGCGAGTCGACGCCACATTCGTTACTTCAGGCACAGATTCAGACAGATACAATGCGCATACGCGAAAAGAGTTGTCGGATGAAAATTATTTATTTAGTATTGTGATTCGTCGAGTCGAATGCATTGCTACTCCCGGCTATCGTCAGTTGCAATTTCGCATTTTTTCTACATGGGCTACCGGACGAAATTGATCGAACAGATCACCGATGGCATACGATATTGCAGATCGACAGTAATTTACCGCGTTTCACTCGTCCGGAATTACATGGACATTTGCTTGTTTATTTTGAATTTTTCCTTCGCCTAAAGTGTCATTCGCATCCTAGCCATTTGCAATATTTTAGCGTTGCGTGTCTGTGCGAGGAGTACTTTTTTATCCCAAAGCAAACAACGCTCTGTCATGATTAAGCAATAATTTTCCATTAGCGTGTACATTTATTCTTGTATTCTTTCCACAATTATTTATTAATATCGGTCTTTTTTTAAACATGCCAGTACATAGCCAATGCCATAACAAAGCAATAATCCGTCCTCTCGTTGACATTGCGAGAAAATAACACACGCGATTGATAATAAACTGGGTTTTTTTTTTCTTTCACTTCGGTAATGCCTATAAATATTGAAATTCAGCAATTTCTAACAAAGTAGTCCGGTAATATTGATGTAGATGAGATATCTTATCGTCTATCTCAATGGTCGAAAAGCACGATTTCTCGATTTCTTCAGCTTAGATGTTAAATACATCGATCAACCGATGACATTAAAAACAAAAAACAAAAGAAAACAAAAACAAAAACAAAAAAAAAACAAAAAAAAAAAACATAATTCCAAACGTGCGGCAATAATATTCTCAGTCAGCGACCGCATCGCCGAATGAAAATCAATTGTAGCGATATCGCGGCCTTCGAAATCTTATTATCGCATAATAAATAATTGCCATCTAATTACCGACGTGTCCTACGTGCGTTGTCAATGATAATAAAATGCGCCATGGGCGATTAATTAAGCGGCTCGCGTGTATGCGCTCTCATTCACTTTCTCGCGCCCGATTTTCAGCGACTTAGCCACGCGACATCGTTTTTAATTAACGCGTCCGTGTTTGTGCTCGCTCGTTAAAGGTCCGATACGTCATTGTATTTTTTCTTTCTTTTGGCGCGCGAGGCTTCGTTAATTCGCAGAAGTTTAAAGTGCGGGAAGGGCCGGCCGGCCGGCCCATGCAAAGTGTCCGAACTTTTACGCCTGCGTCACACGTTTCAGTATCGACGCGCAGCTTCGATTTCTTCCACGGCTTTCTTCTATAAATAGCCTTACCAAGGTATCGAATACTTTGATAATTTGACGATTTTATGAGCCTCGTGTTTCCCGTGTGAATTTTTCTGCCCCATGTTAATTGCGTAATATTGTAATGCTCGAATTGTATGATTTAAAATGTCAATGCTGTCAAAATATCATGGATAAAGTTTAATTTATTTCTTGGGGGATATATACGAAATACATACGAAATACATACGAAATTCACTCTCGTATCTAAAAACCAATTGTTTCAATGATTAATGTAGTAAGTTGAACGTAACGTAGAAAAGCAACTTAACGTTTTAATTAAATTATTTGAAATATTGATCTTATTTTACTCTGATAATTGCGAATGGGTTTCAATCGATAGGTGTATTACTTTGTTATTGACTGAATGCAAGAATATTTTACATTGATCGAGACAACTTTTATTTTGACGACCAACTTTTATTTAATTGTTCTCCATAGACTCCAGACAATTTATTTTACTTTTTCGACTAACAACTAACAATATTTGTTCGTTTGATTGATTAATTTTCGAATGTTTATTATGCGATGGCAGCAATGCATTTAAAATTTGTGCTAAATATCGACATTTTAATAGAATAATTATCTAATATTGTCATTGTCATAGTCGAAGTCGTTGTTGATAATAACTTTAATCGATACACTTTAAATGTTGCACAATGTTATTCTCATATACAATAATTAACAATTACTTAACGTATTACATTACATATAAGAATTAATTAAAAATTTTCTCAGCTTTTCATCCAATCCTCTAAGTTGCAAAATCATCATGAAAATTATTAATAACACATTGTGTTTTATACAAATTTACGACTCACTTGTATCACGTTTGCAATATCGTAAAATTTCAAGTCACCATTGCCTTATAGTAAAGTACGACCGTGAGTTTAGGCCCGTGAGATTTTTAAAATTCACAAAATACGTTTATTTACGAAATAAATAGCCGATACTGACTATAGAATAGCGCCAAGCATCCAGGTCGATCAAATTGGTCAAATAACGAGGGAATATTTGTATTCTCATTACAGAGCGTCTTGGTGGGGGGAGGGGCACGAGAATTCGCGGCTCTTAGAAAAAGCGAGTATCTATAAACTCGGCGGAAGGAAGCGATAAATCAAGGCCGGTGAAGCTCCAGAGCCTTCGAGTCCACAAACTTCATAAATTATATGAAGCGCAACACCAAGCCCGTCGTCAGGTTCAAAATATATCCAAAGACCCACTACATCGGTCGATGTACGGAATTGCCTGCGCCTATTATCACAAGCACCGGCCGATATAACGATCGTCACCGCAAGCACACGGTAAGAAATTAATTTTCATCGCATGACTCGCCGGAAATTTCTATTTTGCCCCACTCTTTATGTGCCTTTACACCTGCGCAATGCACCAATCAACTTCTTTTAACGTTTAATTTAATGCCAAGCGGTTACGCAACTATCAAAGCTGATGATAATTAAAAGAGACTGGCTAACGCTGTAAATGCGCGGAAAAAGCGAGTTCGCGCTCCCCGCAAGGTCACGCATAACGTAAATTCCGTTAGGATAATCGGGAGATCCGATTATCTCGATATGTTGATGATATTAACATTTATTCATGAAATTTTAGGGATAATATTATAAAGCTTATGTTACGTTAAACAAATAGGGCTCTGCTATTATCGTTTGATTTTGTAAAATTGGTAATATTTATTTAGTGGGTGTCTTTTTAAACTGCTTGTTAAAGGAATTTCAAATGATTTTATAAATATATATGTATATAATTTTCATATTCTCTTTAATAATATAATCGTGCTGTTTATTTTAAAATAATATCCGTAGAATATATTAATCACATATTTAACTAAATGCAACTTCAAGCTTAGTCTCATAATTGGTAATATTTTTGACGGAGAATTTTTCCTTAGTTATAAATTCCTGAATATATGTTATATTTTATTCGAAAATTTTCAAACCGAATTAACCGTCAAACACTCAAATCTTTATAGCCCATGCTGATGTTCTTTGGTTCACCGAGAAAATAAGTTGCGTATACGTAATCTGCCCCTCGTGTTGTTAAATCGTTGGCTTTTGACATTTTGATTACGTAAGGCGTCATAATTTCTAAAATAAATTCGAATCTCGTGTCTTATATTTAAGGTACCTGTAACTTGAATCGAAATTCATCGATTTAATTAAATTTAATCAAATATCATCATAATCATTTGCAATATTTCTTTATACAAAAAGCCAAAAATGAAAACTTTATCGATAGTCTGTATGGATATAAATTAGTGAATTAAACTGTAATGGCGTTAAAAATCATTTTATTAAATTTATTAAATTTATTAAGAAGCATAAGATATCGGTATTTACACTTATTTGTCCATTGGATTACTATTACTAATTTTATAAATAATTGAAATACTTCAATGACTTTGACATATCCCGCAATACGTCTGCAATAACATATAAGATATTTAATTACATTTATTTTATTTTACGTAAAGAAAATGTTGTAAAGAGTTTCTAATCAATGAGCAGTCTACTGAATAATAATATTGTGCAGGTATTATCTATTATACATTGTATCACTTTAGTTATTTAAACTGTTTTTTGTTTTGAGTAACAATTTCATTTTTCGAGTTAAGAAAACTTCCCAAAAGGAATAAGTATAATGGATAATCGCCGTACTTAAATTATTTAATTAGCTTTCAATCTAAGATAGCTTAAACTTCATTTATTGAAGCAGTAACATCTTCCTTTACTTTCTTATATTCGTTTGTAAATATATATATATACATAAAGAGAATTTTTCTAATATTAAATAAATTCAAAATTTGTAATTGTTCTTCAATAAGTATGAGTTATTATTCATAGAAAGATATATAAAAAGTACTATTGCTAGATTTTTTTACTTGCTAATTTAGTAGCAACATTATTATAGTTACACAATGACTGTAATATATAATTCTACTGGTAAAAATGTATTTAATTTTCAATCCATACATTAAACCTAAGTTTACAAAATAAATAAATTATACATAAAATTATACGATGATTTCAATCGATTTTTCATATTATAATAATATCTATATATAGTAATATATATATATATATATATAAGTGACGGAATAGTATACGATCATGACAGCTATTTCAATTTGTAATACTCGATTACAGTAATATATAATGGCCGAGTATTACATGGATGGAAAAAGGTCTTAAGTAGTGACGTGTTCAATCGCCAGACCCAACTTCTTATATTCCTACTGCATAATTTTCTCACACGTGAACTTCATGTTCAATGATCAGTCAATTAGAAACTCATAGAGATCCTGTTGCCTAACTAAAGTACGATTCCTGATTTTTTGTCGGTGCAAATTTTTGAAAATAAAGTAAAATCGTTGATGTTTATAAATTTCATTTTAGTTAGCTAAAGTGTAAACATAAAATATAAAATTAAATTTAATCTACTTAATGCTCACAATTGATGAATAAACGATTTTTGTACTTGTATTATTTTCTATATCAATCTGATTTTATGTTTTTTATTTTATTTTTGTAAAGTACAGCAATATAAGGAAAACGGTAATTTACAATTCGATAGTACATCGACTTATGACACTTTACGAATAATACATGCTTAAGAGGATTAGTTCTTTTCCTTCGATTTAAAACTTATAGTTGATAAATCATTAGGAATTATATTCACGCGAGAGAATTTTTAAGTTCCATAATTACAAATAGCGTAATGAGTGGCTTTCAAATATCGTTTGTAAAATTTTCTTTCCTACCATACAACACTCGGTGCTCATTTATCGAAGCATGCATTTATCATAAAACGTGAATAATGCGTTAAGTATTGCTAATTACAATAAAAAAAGAAAATACAAATTGCTAAAATTGGAAAATGCTCATACAGAGTATATTTATGGAGAGCAAAGTCGAAACTCTCGCTATTTAAAACTGGCTTTTTGCACTATGCAAACATTCCTTGCGAGGATCAAAGATGGACAATAATGGTCGTTACCTTCTACTTATACACGCATCACTTGCACGCATTTTTTTCACCTGCACAGGCATTCGCTGAGAACGACCGCTACAAGCGCAGGTCAACAACATCTGGAGTGAAACAGCGGTGTTACCGTGGCAGAGCCTCGCGTACCGAGAGTGGGACGAGCGGTAGCGAGGAAACCTACGAGAGCGCCCCAGCCGACAACTACGAGGATTACGAGGACTACGAGGATGAGGAGGAGGAGGAGGAGGATAATGAGGAGGGGGAGGGGGAGGAGGATGAGGAGGACGATAATGACGATGATGAAGATGATGATGACGAGGACGAGGACGACGACGACGACGATGACGACGAAGATGACGACGACGATGATGAGGAGCGCTCGAGTTCGTCAACGAGAAGTTCTAGTGACAATGAGTCGAACGTGGACGAGGCCGAGGTTGCCAAGGCACTCGCAGCTTTCCGCAAGTGCGACGAGTTTCTACAGAGACATAGGATCAGGCCTGAATTCTTCTGCAGGTACAGAGAAAGGCTGGCGCTTCAGGCTTGGCTGTTGCAACGCGTCACCGCCAAGGCTTCCAGAAATGTTTTCGGTAAGTCAGGAACCGATTCCCATCCCTCGTCTAAGAATATGCGCTAGAACTATCGGGCAGGAAGCTCGATTTTCCCTCTCTTTGCTTCTACCCTCCCCCCTCCCTCTCCCACAGGAAAGCTATGAATTCACAATCTTTGAGAAATAGATACATCAACGTTTCGAGATAATGCTCGAATAAATATTAGTCGTCTGGTTTTCAAATACATTCCATTACCATGAGTTTATTATAGTTGTTATATTATTTATTCATTGATTCTAGTGGGAGAATTCAAATCAATTACATGTTACATTATTGTCGTTCAAAGGCTTTTAATATCAGCTTTTAATTTAGATATGCAAGTTTTAGAATCAATATTGAAATGGTAAGTAAAGATCGATTCGTACACTAAATTATAATGAATGAGAGCATTATATTGAGGCTTATATGATATAAATCCGGTATTTAGAGAAATGTAATTAATTTTCTTTAAAACATATAAATAAATTGGAATAGATGACCGTATATAAGATTTAATCAAATTTTCTTTTAACTCGCCATTTGACTTTTAATTCGACATGTAGCAAGTCGAAGCATATATGTCTATTTATTTGTAGAGAGTATATAATTTAACGGCAAAAAGTGAGAAATAAAAACACGATAAGCTTCTCGAAAGGAATTGTAGTGAGCTTTGAAAACTAGTATTAACACATACCCACACATACAGCGAGAGAGAGAGAGAGAGAGAGAGTCACGAGTCACGCAGACAGATAGGGAATGATTGTAGGTAGTACAATGTCATTTAAGTAATAAAATGTCTTGTTCCCGAGCAAAACAGCTAATAAGATGAAAAAATAAGTTGCGAATCGTATAGCATTATCGAAGTCGTTGGGACGTGTAAAATAAATAACTTGTTTTAATGATGAATTTGTCATATAAAATGTTACTTGGGATAAAAAGTTGAGAAAAAGAGTAATGTGAAGCTGAGTGAGAACGTAAGAATTAGTCATAAATTAAATAATAAAAGTAATATCGTGCTGCAGACGGAAAATAAAAAGATCAAGAATCGCTTATAAAAAAAAAAAAAAAAAAAAAACAACAAATTACTAGTTTTCAAGATCTGTGAGATCACATGTAAATAGCCGCATTACTACCATTGTGCATACATGTAAACGTACAGACGTTATTTAAAAACATTCTATTTCGCCTTTTCATTGGCGCACATGCATGACTGCGATTATATATTAATGTAGTGAACCCGATAGTCTAAAAAATATAGAGCCAACAGCGGAATTAGACAGAGGCCTGCCGATTCTCTTACCTTACTCATTATTGACGAGCCGAATACAAAGTACACATGCCAAACTCAACTACCACTCGCTAATCTCACAGATAGAGGTTCTTACATACATGTAATAGCTACAATAAAACGACCCCTCCTATCTAGCACGTATAATTTACTCGCTCGAGCTCGAGCGGGGCCACACATCGGCCACGTTAATGCCATTTTGGCCTCGCGCCTTATCGTAATAACACCGTCGGCACAACCTCCCACAAGAAACACAGTCGTCGATTTACTGTACGAACGCTCTTTTTATCATTCCCCCGGCTAATGCGCAAAGTTTTCATACTATCCGTGGGCTCGTAAATATCGCGGTAATGATGCACTGCCAGTTGGCCTATCCTAGGGAATATTAAGAAAGTTCGCCGAACGCTAGGGCGGCACGCGTTAAGCGGATGTTTCGATATGTGAGTGGCGTATCGTTAATCGGGAGGAGATTGCGCTGAGATTCGCCGTCCTTGTTGCTCGGGCTGCGATTCGCGTGATGCGAGCCAGCTGGAATATGCCTTATTTTCATTTTATTGCGCAGGTCTCGTGTCGCGCTTTTCACACGACAGACAATGTTCATCATCTCTTTTTCCGGACTCTCTTGAAGAGACTCGAAGAGTCCGGGCTTTCGTAATGTCTCCTTGCGCCTCTTTCGCTCTCTTTTTTCTGGATGACGTGTATGCCTTTGCCAGGAGATTTGAACGAGTTTTTCATGATCCGCAATTTGAGCTCCATATCGGATCGTTTTTTATTCTCTCTTTTTTTTTTTTATTTTTTTTATTTCCTTGTTTTGATCATTGGCCTATAGGCTCGGAGTAATAGACTGTTACTCCGAGTAAAGGATGTTTTTATGAAATTTTTCGTAAAGTTCGCTGGAACGTTGGGTATGAGTAAATTTATGCCCAGTATACTATAAAAATTAATGGTATTCGTGATAATGATTCATGGAAAGTTTATCGTATTTTAAGTAAAATGTTTATTACAATTTTGTGTGCTAGAAGACTATTACGTAGTAGCTGTTTAAAATTTTTTTACTTCTCTCTACACTTTGTTCTCAAATGTCAATAAAATGCATTTTGGCATTATTTACAACGCCTCTTCCATATAAATCGAGCTTCAAAGTAATTATAAAATATCATTTAACATTATGAAATATTGTATATTTGGAACATAAGTAAATATCAACATTAATAATGATGCTAATGGGATTAATTAGTTAAAATGATTTTTGAAAGTAAAAGAAGTAATTATCAGCGAGTCAGCGAGTACCAGTTAATTGAATGCAGCGACAAAAGTTTTTTTTTTTTTTTTTTTTTTTTTTTTTTTTTTTTTTGATATTAATTTGCAAACAATAATGAGAATCGAGAAGAAAACAAATAGAATTATAAAAATAACGAGTACTTGAAGATATTTTTTCATTCGTGCAGAAACCGTAAAATGCTTGTTCGGTGAAAGAAAAAGTATTCAAAATGAATATTCTTAATCCTTTAAGTGTAACAGACAAGAGCGCGTTATTTTGTTAGTGAAAAAAAGAAAATAGCGGGGGATTGTAATCGAGAGATTAGGATAATAAAAGGATAGGGAGATGAGAAAACAGAATTTTTCATAAATGTACGACTTCGAGAAAAGGTCTGTATAAATATACTTAAAGAATACCAAACGAAAGATTAACGAGTATAATTCTGAATTTCGCAGGCTGTCAATTGCATATCCTTAAAAATTATGCGACAACAAAATTATATTGCATACAAAATTATACGAAGCATCGGCTTTAAGCACTGCAACATAATAATATTAATAATTATTGTGACAAGAATATAAATCGCTTATACAGATTTGATTGAGAAAAAAAAATAGATTAAATGACATTTTACATTTACATATTTGCAAACGTCTATAAATTATTAATAAATCACAGATATGGAATGCTTAATAAGCATAGAATAATCATTGTATTATTATGAAAGTAACGAATTTCTTATCACAAAATTAATTATTAATACACCATTTTTCGCTAACACCGTGCTATTGTAAAGTAAATAAAACACACATAGTAAAGCAAATAAAAAAATTAATTAACATTTTGTAGCATTTATAGATTATAAGGAAAATTAATTATTAAATTATAATAGCTCAAAGCATTTCCAGAGTTTAGCAAAAGATTCTCAAACTATACTCACTAACTAAGTAAATATTTTTATAGTTAATTTAAAATTAAACTGCTATGTATATAAGAATAAAGTTGATAGATGTAGATATAAGTAATGCTTATAAAAAGGAATTTGACGAAAGGAGTTGAAGTTCGATAGATGGAAATTTGAGAAATAGTTAATTTATAATTATATTTATTTAATGTTATCATACTAATGGGAACCCTATGAAATATAAGTAAAAACTAAATTCTTAATAGTTACATTATAAATTAGTAAATGTAACGATTACCAGAGTTGTAAAATTTGACGATACATTTACACTTTTTAAAATATAACTTTTAATCAATGAAAATGAATTTATTGAATTAGATGAAAGTTAGTTTAATAAAACAGAATTGACATAATAATACTCAATAATTTATTGATATATGAAGAATATATTAGCTTTTTATATATTTATTAATATTCTAAGTATTGATGATATCTTAAATAAATAAATAATACTATCATATTAAAAAAATAAGTGGTTAACTAAATAGGCTAATGAAATATTATTACTATTTGTAAGCATATTCTTGTTAATTTTGCAATATGAAAACTTAAAATTGTTATTAGCAGAACAGTTTATAAGTAGGCTAAATTAAATTTAAAGTAAAAACTGTTTAAATTCTTATAAATTCTTATAAAAAATTTTTTTAAATATAATGATTTTATCCAAAAATTGAATAGTATTAATTATATTTCCTACGCATGAATAAGCAATCTAGATAATTAACATCGATGTGCTTATTATTTGTAAATTAAGTGAATAATTGAGTAAGAATTAAGTGTGAATATCAGTTAGTGAACATTTGTTACAGATAGTAACAATTTATGTAATATATGGTTTACATAAGAGATATATTAAATTTTACATACATTTACATTAACGTCCTATCTATTTATTTATCAATGGTAAAATAATATCCGATATAAAATGAAACCGATAACTAGAATAGAAGCAGAAACTTTACGAAATAAATCAGTAAGTTCATAATTCCATTATTTATCGTTTAAATGAAATATTAGAATATTTGGGTAAATGTACGAGTATCGTATATTTATGTATTTCAATATGCATATCTGTTGGAGCGTTGAATTGCCATTTTACCATCAATTTTTTTTGGATTTAAAAAACGTACAGAAGGAGGATTAGTCAAAGTAAAATTAGAATGTAGACATTTGTAAAATATATAAAATATACTATATTAAGTAGATTATATTTAAACTGTAATATTTATTAACACGAATATTTTTCTCATTATTATAATCTATTGAGTATTTCATATAAGAGAAACAATAGTTAAAGAAGGCTATAATCTAGCTTCTTGATCAAGAATATTTAGCTTCAATTTATAACAAACCCTAATTATATTTGTAGTATGTAAAGAATTTAATTGATATTAATGTCTCGAAATCTCCATCTCATGCAATTAATTTATATATATATGAATGCCGAAAATATATGAAGTGTTACGTAATACGTAATGTCTCATGAAATTATTATTGTAACAAAATTTAAATAATTAGCAATAAAATGTTATTAAAAATAGAAGACAATGATAATGCACTTTTAATTCGGCTAATTTATACAATTAATATATATTGTATTTGGTAGTCTGATCTTGGTAAGATAATATGATATAGGAAAATTTATGAGTAAAATCTTGTTTGAAGTATAAATGTCGTTTGCATAGCTTATTTAAACAAGGTCTTGATAAATATTAGATAATTAAACTTTTTATATTTAAATTCAACTTACAATTAAACTTTATAAATTACAAGAATTTTTCAAATAATTATTAGATTTTATGATAACTTCTATTTCTATTTAGATTTACATAATTTTTTAATCTCCCTGTACCAGGCTTGTTGTAGTTAATAAATATTAAAACAATTGTTTATCATTAATATGCTTCTTCTCTTTATGTACTAGGGAATAAAAATTACATCGTTAAAATAATTATGAAAAATGTAATAACTTATATAAAATATTTACATAATGTGCACTTCTTATATGTATATAAAAAAAAAAAAAAAAAAAAAAAAAAAAATTAAATTAAAAATGCTAGCTTTATCAGTTTTAATAAATTATTTTTAATAAATTTATTCATTAAATCGATAACAATATAATGCCAAAAATATTACAAAATAAAGGCAAAACGATATTCTAAGCCTAACTCTAAATTTAAACATAAAATGTTTTTATAAGCCAAATAGGCACCGACGTATTGTCGAGTTTCTTTATGGTCGTTGTGTGCTTATTTAGATGAAAATTGCGAAATTCTAGAAATGTTGACGATCTTTCTGTAGTATTAAACTTGGACGAACCTGCGTCGAATAAATGCATAATTAATTTCACATGTTTTTTTCATAATTTTTTTTTTTTTTTTTTTTAATTCTTTTTCCCTTTTGAACATCATAACTCAAAAATTTTTTTAATTTAACAATATTTCGTAACACTTTTCGTGATCGGATAATATTAAATTGCTTGTGCATAAAACAAAATATTTATATTAGTATGAACATTTAAATATTTTTAGTTTCATTTATACATTTGAATGGTGCGACCATATTATTTTGAATCATTTCCTAGTAAAAATTTTATTTCATATCTTTCATAAATGTATCCTCTTTATAAGATAAATACAATATTATTGTGTGTTAATGTTATATTATGAAATACCGCATCATTTTTTATTATCATGTTGTATTTTTTAAGCAATTACATGTTATTTATCATACTGAAATAAATAGAAACATTGTCGATGGATTTTTTAACATATAGTTGTAGAAAAACTATATTCATTTTATTTGTTTTGAACTTTTCTTTTTTCATGAAAAGCATAAAATGTTCCATTTGACCAATTCGCGTTTTCAAAATTAAAGACAAATTTAATGTTTAAATGTAATGGTAATGACGATAATGATGTAGTTTGTATGAGCTTGATTTTATTCTTCTATTTCATATAATAAGCGTATTTTCATACATAAAATTATAATTGATAATTATATATATATATATATATTACATAATTTCTATTAGTTATGGTTCTTACTGATAAGTCTAAGGAAGCATATGATACAGTAAAATATATAATGTACAAACAAATTTATCATTAGAAATAAATTCATATAATAATAATAATAATAATAATAATAATAATAATAATAATAATAATCTTTAATTTATTTTATAGTGCAAAATAGATATGAGTATATTGGAAATAAAGAATAATACGATTATTGTATATAGTAGTGTAAGATGTCAATAATATAAAACAAACCTGAATTTTCCAAAATTACAAGTTTTGAGAACATTATTTTTCTAATTATTAAAATATAAAAATATTAAAATAATAAAATATTTTTAAAGGATATTTATCTTTATAATTTAATAATTAAAATATGTTTATAATATTCGTTTTAGAATGTATCGTCAACTTTGTAATATTTTTTTACAGGTTTAAAATTAAGTATTATACTTATAGTATAAGATATAACGAATCTTTGATATTTTCTGATATTATGACCTTGAACTTATGCTTAATCACAAAGGATATCGAGATTCCTTGGACATGTCATTTTCATTTTATTCTTTCGGATTGGACAAACATTATTGCCCTCGAGAGTTTTACATTTTATCGCACAGCTGACTAGTCGATAGTGTCATACGTCAAAGCATCATGAATTTTTATGATTTACTAAGATCCGAGGGTATTAAAATTTGCCTAGTAATTAAAAATATTAAGGAATTTTAATCGATTAAAGAATGCAAATCAAAGTATTGACTTCCAAAACTCTGTAGTATAAAATACTTCGACAAATTGATTGTTTTCAGATAAGAAGATGTAATCCTTGATGCGTAATATAATATAAACGAGATTTTGCATTGTATGGTATATCGAAGGGATAAACAATATCTGACCTGCGCCACTATGACATTGAACGTATGAAGGATCGCACATAACTATTTAACTTTGTTTGAATGCGTGATTATTGGTTTATTGGCAGAGAAAGCCACAGTGACAGTTACGCTAACGAGTGATGTAAGTATATATTTGGTATTTTCGCAATGGTTAGTCTGTCAATTCTAGTACCAATTGCCTTTGTGTGCAATAACTCATTGTTTAATTCCTCATGCTTTCTTGTAAAAGACGATTAAAAGACCTTTTGAATTTTTTGTTTAATAAAGCCGAGCTATTTTCTTTTGGTAGTTTGGTAACTGGATCTTTATCAAGGGAATCCATGATCAAAGGGCTTTGTGGATAGTAATGTACATTATCTGAAAGATTTATGACAAAAAAAAAAAAAAAAAAAAAACTTAAATAAATAAATATGTTTCTACAATTCAATGAAATTAATTCGTGTTTTCTCGTTATACGATACCACTTTGTTTACAATCTTCACTTTAAAAATTGAAAGAGATATGTTAAATTCATTATTTTTTTCTTTAAAAATACAAAATATCGCTATCGATTATCTATACCATGAATTTTTTAATTTTCTGTTCAGAAACTTTCATTGCATTATTTTTCATAATTTAATTTTTAGTTTTCTTCTAAATTTCCCGATAATTATTTTTAATTCTATATACGTATTAATATAATAAACTGAAATTTGTAAAATATAATAATTAAAATTACCATACAGATGGAATTGTAGTGTTAAATTAAAAATAAATCAATTTTAAATATTTTATTACAAAAGTGGATAGAAATAGAATATTTACGAATATTTACCATTATTAATTTTATGGATAGATCATTAATGATATAGAATTTTGTATTATGTCAGGTGACTGTATAAATAAGAATATACTGATTGAATTTCACTGGTTAATAATGCCAAAAATTTATAAAACATTACTCCTATTCAGTTACATGCAACATTCTTGTATTTAAATAGAGTTTTATCCTTAATTTAAAATTTACTCCAACATCATTTCTAACGCTTTTAAATAGATGTAATTATTGAAATTAATTTTAATTAACTTTAATATAATAATCATAAGGAAGTATCTAAGTGATTCACAATGAGTTATCGAATTTCATAGTATAATGAGAAATTTTAACGTGCTACATAAATATTGAACATTAATTATAATATTATTTTATAAAATTATTATTCAAACAGAATGCTATGGCGTTCATAATTAAAAATTTCATTGTTACAGATAGTAAGGGCAAGTAATTAATAAATGGGCAAGCTATTAATAGTGTAGGCTAATTATATTCCTTGTTATATTATTCTATACAAATCAAGAATAATGTAACGCCTTGTAATATAATGAAGTTGTCACCATATACTATGACATACAGGCACTAAAAGATCCATTGAAATTTACAATGGTTCCGTTGAATTTTAAAAAAGAACACTTTCATGAGCTCCATTTTCTCTATCCTTTCAGCCGATATCCTGTTTTTAAAAATTTGAATTTTCTGCTAAAAAGACCTTTTCACACTTTATTCGTCAGAGTTTTCATCATATTTACGATCTCGTTGGCTCATAAACCAGCAAAGACACTTCTAACAATAACATCTATTATAATAAAGTAATAATAATAATAAATATAATAATAAAAGGGGAAAAAAATATAAGTAAAACAGTAATACAGTCCGCCTGTACAATGTATACGAATTATAAAAGCGCCCGAAGGAGTTGGCAATTCCCGTTGCGGTTGTTGCTTTTCTTCATTTTTTCGTTTCGTTGGCTGAAAATAGAGTAGCGGAAAAGGAGAGTTACGCGCTTATGCTTTAATTGCCGTGCTTGAAGCGTGGATCGACGTGCGCGCGTACACGGGTGTTCGTTTTAAACGTCGAGTAAGTCAACGCCTGGACAAAGATTTTTTCGTTTTCGACGTCACCGTCACCGACTTTTACGACTTTTATCGTTTTTTTTTTCCTACGTCCAAATCGTAAAAATAGCCAAGAGAATCCATGACCACACGTGCACACCATCACGTACACACCCACAAAATCCACAAACGTTACACACACACGCGCGCACACACACACGCACACACACACACATATATATATAGTAGCGATAATAACATTTTAACACACGTTTATGTATTTATAAATTTAATACGTTTACTCTTCGTATTTTTCTTTTATCATACGTATAAACGCATTTTTTTTTTAACTTTTGCTACTTTTCACCAGCTACACCGTAGTTACTTTAGATATGTAGGTTAGCTGTTTTGTGGTAAATTTTATTGACTTTTTTTACTTGATGTACCGTACTTGAATTATTTTTCTTGCATATTTCATCGAAGGAATTATTCCAATTAGTTTTTTTTTTTTTTTTTTTTTTTTGACTAGTTCTATACTATAATTACTGGCAAAAAACGAAATGAAAGAATAATAAATTTTATTTTGCTAACAAGCTATTAAAGTTTTTGTTATTATTTCAGTACTTGAAAGTTGGACTTTATAAAACAATATCATAGTTGTAAAATTGCTAATTCCAAACATGAGTTTTTATAAAATGCGGAGAAGAAAGATTTAAAGTATTTGAAAATACAGTGCTTCGTTATATGAAGCATAATGATGAAAGTTAAGAAAATTATGTAATTATAAATATAATTCTATAGTATATTTAATATTGTGGAGGTTGTAATATCAGTATAGGAAGTAAGAAAGTACCAGATAATATTTCATTAGAAAAGTCAAACGATAAGGTTTTTTTATGTATATTTGAGTAAAGACATTGGAATGACAATTTCATAAAATTTACAAAAGTATTATGTATATATTTATGTACTTTGATAAAAATTTATAGGAAGACTATATCTTGGCGAGGCAAAAAATATTTACCTTTGCGATTCCAATAAAAGGAATCTCCAATTCAGTTCCTATGTATACTTTTGGCATATTTATATACTTTTGATAAAAATAACATTTCATGATGTATATATCGTTCAAATAAATTTTTCTACCTTTTTCTTATATTTCTATTATTCTCGAGGGTTCAAAAGAAATTTCCCCTCCATCTTTAACAGTTTTCTAATTAAAGAAATATATGCTCTTATTATCAGTAGTCCATTATTTTAATATAAAATTTAAATACATGTAATTACTGAAATTCATTTAGTTAATCCGTTGCAATCAGATTTCTCATGTATAATTTAATTATTTAATCATTTGTTTAAATCGTAATGCAATAACATTGATATCTCACTATATGAATACAATATGATTTTTTGATTGTACTGCATATATAGTTTGGAAATGTTATTTTATATAAAAAATTTCCTTTTTAAATTTAACACTATTATTTGTGAAGAATTTTAAAAATAATTTCTATATAATTATTATTTATAATTAATAAAACTTAACCAACTTACGATTTATAATTTGAAGAGTCAGGTTTTTAGTTTTTTTTTTTATAGAAAATTTCTTCATATCAAAAAATAATATAAACTCAAATTCTAATCCTTAAATATTTAAATTAAAACTACTTAAATCCAATTCCGCGTATGAAAAACAAAAAAATTATTTAAATAGGTTGTAACGTAATACAGAATTAATAATTATAAATTCTGTATAAATTGTTAATGACTACTTTCGTAGAAATGTAGAGTTTTTTTTCCCATGACTTATAATTATAAACAAATGTATAAATAACTGAGACGGAAATATTAAAGGAATATAAACGTTAGCATAAATTTGTCGACAAATTACTTTTCTTTATTGCTCTAACGAAATAGCATGTTTACATTGCAGTCACAATGTATGAATCAACTATTAATCATCTTTAGTAAGGAATATTTCTCATCTCTCATATTAAAATAAAACGGTCGCACCAACTATTACAACCATATTGATTTATAAATTGATGATTTATAAAAAAAAAAAATATATTAGCATCTAATTAAAGCGCAATGCTTCCTTTGGTGTGCACATATGCAGCGTTGAATCTTTCTACGTTAATTCGCATTGAAAATTTTTCACGTAATAATAGGTAAGTGATGATAGTTATGCTTCTATTTGTACCATTCGAGAGGCAAAGTTGTGCGCGGAAGCACCGCTGGTGTAGTGGTATCATGCAAGATTCCCATTCTTGCGACCCGGGTTCGAATCCCGGGCGGTGCAAGTTTTTTGCACATTTGTTTATTCATATTTTTTCTATAGGCCGTGGTGAATGAACCATTAAAAATTCAAGTTTCTCAGGATTGCGTAGGAAAATATATAAGCAAGGATGTGTGTGGTGTGATGCTTTGAAAGGAGATTAGAGTTGCGAATATAGCAATACGTTGATTTATCGACAAGTGTTGGTCGATAAATTCGTGAATTCCGTTTGAAGATTTATAATAAATTTAGTTTTTCCTGTCGAACTATTAAAATTCAAGATGAAATTGAGAAACAGTTTTCTACCATTAGTATAGATGAAACTATTGAGTTAAAATTTATCTCTTTTTTATTTAATATAATATCGATGTAAATAATAATAATATTATAACGTAAAAAAAAAAAACAAAATTATAGTCATAGGTCAATATAAAGTTTTTCAAGTACTTGATGTAATATACAATCATTTTTCCTAAAAATTATATATATATTTCAAATATTCTATTATCATTTCATTATATTACTTTGCTTTAGATAAGGAAATCTCTGTCTCTCTATCTACCTCTCTCTATCTTTTATTTAATAAATATTATATATATGCATATATATTTAATTTATTTTTATTAACAAATTCACAACATTCTATTTTCAATATTTCTATTCTATCAGGATCGAGTGGTTTTTATAATGTGGTAACTCAATCACATTCTCATTTACTTTAATATTCAATACAATCAGTATGTTATTATTATTTTATTATCATCAGTATGTTATTATTATTATTATTATTATTACTATTATCCAACTGTTTAAGTCTTATAAACGTGTTTTTTGTAACCAATTTTTTTTTTCAACGTATAATTAAATGGCCAGCATTTATTACTCTAAATTAATGTAGAGTTCATTGAAATATAATATACGTAAATCGTAGACCCTAATATATTATAGAATGAATGTTTCTTTGTCTATGCGACATTTAGTGCTCCTGGAGTTTATTTTATTTTAATGATACTTAATGATATATCAAAAACATAGGACAATTGGAAGAGGAGTTAATTAAATAAGTCCCTCAGTTTGGTCGCAATAATAGTAAAAGTACGAGAGATGGTGGGATTTACAAGAGAGGGAGACGGAGAGAGATAGTCAGTCAAATAGGTACGCGCGCGTGTGCGCGCGCATGCGCTCATGGGGAGTTAGAGGTAGAGATTGAAAGAGAGAGAGAGAGAGAGAGAGAGAGAGAGAGAGAGAGAGAGCGAATAGTGATCCCGAGGAGCGCGTCATGATGTGACGTCAGTCGAACCAATTGTCAACGACTTACACAGAGTGGCGCGTCGCGAGGAACGGCGAAGCGGTAATGACATTCAACAGCTGCATGCGAGCTCGGATACACACACTTAACGGTGAGAATGATTGCACTGGGAAGCCGCGCGACAAGCATAAGCCACTCGACGCCGTCTGGCGATCGATCGCGCATTGCACGCACTCCAACATACGTGATGTACGATATGAATCCAACGATAAAGGAATTTTCGCCCTCAGCTCGATCCCCGCGGCTGCCGCCACCACCACGCCACCTCGCCACCTCGCCATCCCACTCCACCCCATCCCATCGTCCCACCGTCCCACCATCCCACTGCCCCGCTTATACACGGGCGAGATGGGGAAAAGAAGATAGAAAAGGCTCCTTCCGCGGCATCAATCTGGATGGCTATCGAGCCACAAAGCGGGTAATCGATCCTGCGATCGCGTGCCAGGGAGTTGCAGCCACGAGTTTGGCACTGCATTAATTACTCAGCGTCTCGCGGACCTCGCGCTTTACAACAATCGCGCAATAATTAAAAATTACGCGGCTTGATAATTATGTGGCCGGACCGCGCGCCCGCCTGAGTTATCGTCCGCACCCTCGAATGTATTCAAAAGCGTTGTATACGCGGGTGGCATGGCCGGCCGCCCTGGGGGGTGGGAGCATAATGTCGATTAACAGGGCTCTATTGACGGGCAATTGCGTATTAATGAGGGATTTTTTAGCCGTTAATTGCTTGATTGGTGGGATTGGGTCGTTTAACGTCCATTGTTCTGCGCACCTCGATTGAAAAAAATTTTTGGCTCATTGTTTTT